CTCGTGGTGGAACACCAAACCAATGTGCCAGGATCTGGACAATAAAGATGTATCTTATCTTATCTTATCTTATCTTAAAAGGCCGTGAGTTTGAACCCTTTTAGAGGTCTGATGTTTTATAATTGGGAAAGGTGCTTTCCAAAAATTTTCCTAACATCACTCTTGGGGAGGGGAAAGGGGGGCGGGAATTGGCACCAAGCTTTACACAATGAAAGATCTTGTCAGCTTGTTAAGGTTTGAGCGCTTGATCGGCTGCCTCTCTAAAGCTGAGAATGTTTCGGAATGCTCTAGGGTCTGCTGGGGGTAATAACACTTGTAAAAGGCACAGAGCATGCCGTAGAACATGGATATGCCCTGTGTAAATACAATAATCATCATTATTATTAAAAAGTCCTACAGTATAACACTGACTGAATAGCCATCACACCAGAGCCTCACCCTCACACTACATGATTTGATTTATGCTTGATTCACAGCATGTCTTTCTGTAACATATGACACAGATCTTACCTTCAAATTTCAGCTGTTCCAGGGTGAACTTTGACCTTTTGATCTGAAGAAACATGAGAAAGGAAGTTGTAGGGTCATCCAGTTGGCTCAAATATGTTGTCAAGATGTCCATTAGTACAATAAGCACAAAAACCCAGTACTATTGAACTAGTCCAAGGCGACCATCCATTATTGAGAGAAAAAAAAATGGGTGTCCTAGACAGGGGGTCCTCTTGTACAGGTGATTGAAAGAGTAATTTCAACTGTACTAGTGGGGGTAACTGCTGGGAACATCAACTTGCATGCAACGGGCATTAATTTGATGATCTAAGTTAATTTTGACCCTCATTCTTACAAAACATTAAAAGCGTCTTTCCCATGTGATGTCACATTAACCCAAATGTGGCCCCATGAAGAATGAAGACTGCAGATGTGCACAGTAGGTCAAGTGATTTCTGAATAGGGGGGGCTAAAGTTAACTTTTACCACTTTGATTCCCCATCTGACTGAAGCATCTCATCAAGTTTCTCCCTCCACCTTTCTCCTGGGATGTACTCTACACAGCCTGGGCTGTGATAAAGTTGTTGAGTTGTCGCTTAGTTATTTTGTCATAAATTGTTTTAGTTTAAGTAAGAGCCGTACAGGCGCTGGTCAACATAGTGAAATTGAAAATACCGGCATTTTTCTGCTGGTTTGGACATTTTCATAGAATTTAACCTCTTAAGCGTAACCCCTTGTATGTCCATTTTAAAACACGCTTCTGTGTGGATTTTTACAGAGAAACATCGGGAAAAGTAAATTTTCAGTTTCCATGGACTCCACAAATAAACATACACACATAAAACCACACAACTAACCTGCAGCAAAAAGTTGAAGATGTCGTTGTATTGATCTTGGCAGCTGCTGGAAATGACCACGTCCACCGGCCACGGTACCTGACAGACAAGGCAGCCCACACCGACAAAGTCATTGTACAACTGCTTAAGTCATCTGTTTTAGGTATCTAGTTGTTAGTACCATACAAATGTCAATCATTTCTTTTGTAACCTCAGTATAGCAGGTTTTTGCTTCATGTACTAAAGGTTCAATTGTTGAGATATTTCTAAATTGGATTATGTCATCATCAGATTGGCTAAGGTAAACATTATTAGGGTTTCTTTTTTTTACTTTTCTCTAAACAACAAAATAAAATATGTCTTACACAACAGTGGTATGACCACTGCGCAAAGTGCATACAGGCAGTATCATTTCTGCTGAATTTAAAAGAAGCTGACCCAAGCACAGAGTATATGAAAGCCATTGTAAACCAAATTTCCCTACAAGGAACAATAAAAGCGAGCTTCTCTTTGTCCTTTGTCTGTCTGTCTGTCTGTTCATTCATTCACTAATTTATTTATCTACTAAATTTACTACTCTATGGTAAGTGTGACAAAACATTTTGTTTCTACACTACAAAGCCGCAGTAAAATCCACCAGTACCTGATACTTCAACTGGATGCAGTCTGTTTCGCTGATGGCGTGTTCTGTCTGTGACCTTGACAGTGGGACTACAGACACCGACAACCTGACAAACAAATGAAAACAAAAGGTCAACAAACTCAAAGACAATGGTTTTGATCCCAAAGGGAAACACCGACATCTGTGGTGTAGCAGTATGACACCTTGCCATTGCAGGCAAAAGTCCTGAGTTTGATTCTAGATTAGGGATGTTTTTTCATCAAGTATCTCCATCTGTCTAATAATAAACTGTATTTATATTGCCCATTTTCATCTCAACAAGATGCTAAACTTGCATCACTACAATAAATCACAGGTGTGTCAAACAATGCGCAATGGAGAAAGAATAAAAATCTCTTCTAAAAGATAACACAGTGCTTGAAAATACTTCAACATTGATAAAAATTCGCTTGTACAATTAACAGATATATTCTTTCAGCCACACTCCTGATCTTATGGTAGGTGAGATCTACACCTAGCCTTTTTGGATAAGGGCAAAAAAAAATCTCAGAGGTCCCATGTGTAAGTTGCACACGTTAAAGATCTCTTGGTGGTCCAAAAATCGATAAAAGTAGGCTTCGGCCGCTACCCGTGCAAAATTCAAAATTCCTACCAAACTGAAAATGTTTAATGTGTTCCGCTCGCTCTCATGACTTTATGCAGTTGCGAGAGCCATAAAATGCTTACCCCCCCCCCCACCAGATGTATTGATATAAAAATACAAATCCGTCCATTCATAAATTAAATACAGCTGGACAAACAGATTGTTTACGGATTACAATTGTAAGCAGATTTTGACCAAACACATATTGTTGGTCTTCTTAACAATCCACTACATTACAAAGCTCCAGTTTTATAATTGGCAAAACAAAGTTCTTGTAAGACATGATCAGGAAAAATCTATTTATTCCACTTATTGGAGAACTGTCAATACCTTCCAGGGATAGGGAGCCCTTGTCTTATATGTAAACTTATCAGCTGTTCCGGAAATATTGAAACTAACAGTTGTCTGCATCTGAGATCTAATAGAGGAAAGAAGAGAAATGACAAGGAAGAGGAGAAGGAGAAAAAGGAAAAGGAGGAGAAAAAAGAGGAGAAAGAGAATAAGAATGGAAAGGAGGAGGGAGGAGGAGGTAAAGGAGGAGAGGAGGAGAGGAGGAAGTATAGGAGCTACCTGGTTGTGTCCTCAGGGTAGCTGCCGTCCACAGCTTCATGCAGGAACATCTCCAGAAGGTCAGAGTCTTTCCACATCTCTCGTTTCTGGATCTGTTCAACACACACACACACACATAAATGCACTCAGTTTAACAAATACAATCACACTCAGTTCAACACACACAGACGGATCAACAGCACCCACACATACAGAGTAAACAAACACAAAAACACACACATACAATCAGAAAAACTGAGCTGATCAGAACAAATAACAGAAAGGAATGGGGACATCATCATTTTCATAGACTAAACAATTACCCTTTTTTATTGTTTTGTTTTTCTTGAAGCATAACAATTTTCACTGCGCCAACACATTTTTATGTAGTAGCGTACAAATAGCTGCACCAAAATCAGAACACGAAACAAACAAACAAACAAACAAATAAACAAACAAAAATCAGAAAGGAATGGGGTACAAAGACTGTCAATGTCTGCTTCAGACCTGAAACCTGAAGAAGAAGAAGTACATTCAAAGCATCCTTGTGTGTTACCGAGCACACAAGTTCTTCTTACCTTGAGGAAGACAGATCTGTAGAAGTCATACATAACCTCCCCTGAGGACATCAGGAAATATCTCTGAAATGAAGGAAATAAAAACACGTCTGGCAATGGATACAACTTACGCACAGTCGAAATGTGTCACGATATGGTGGAAACAGGTGCTCGTCAATTTTTGGGCATTATGGGGTTATTGTTATCATATCAAAGCCAGTTCATTTGCCTTGCTTTTGGTGAAAAAAATATCCATCTACGTTGAATAGAAGTCGAAATATTTGTGATTGAAGGAGGTCAGGGTCACCTGGTTTCAGAGGTGAAATTAGCGAGAAAATGTACACCAAAGTTGGGTAATTTCCATAACTTGAGAATCCTTGGAAACTGAAAACTGACATTTTTTGTGCTTTTAATTAATGTTTTTCAGTAAAATCCACATAAAAATGTGCTTTCAAATATACATAAAAGGTGTTGAACCCAAAAAAAAGAAAATGAAAAAAAATTGCCAAACGGTCTGAAAATGCCAATTTCTTTGACTTAATTATTTTGACGAGCGCCCGATTTCACCATGATTTGATCCTCACAAATTGTCTAAGATAGTCATAAATTGTAAGGAGAAAAGCGGCTGTCATAGATATGTTGACCTTTTACACGTAGTCAATAAAGTTTTTAAAAAAGCAAAAGGGAGGTGGCTGTTTGTATGGCTGATTGTGCATGTTTGTGCGCGCGCGTGTGTGTGTTTGTGAATGTGTGTATGTGTGTGTATGTGTGTGTACGTGGTGAAACACCAAACCAATGTGCCAGGATTTGGACAATAAGGATGTATCTCATCGTATCTTATCTTGCATGGGTGGCCGCTAGAGCAGGCTTGACTGTACTTTCTCAAGGGGAAATACAATGTTAAATCCTGATATACACAAATATGATATTACTGAGCATGGCACCGACAACATACAGGTGATTGGGGCGTGTTACAGGTAAATTCTACTTCTTTTAGGCCTCTGTTTTTTCCGCCTACCTGTCTTACTTTTTCAAATAACTAAACGAATGCTATTTTGTCCACGAGCATTTTTTAAGCCATCAATATTGAAAACTCAAATGAACTCGCTCACCTGCATGGCATGGATACATTGAACCAGGTTGTACTCTGACTTGAGGATGTGCAGCAGACGCGAGCAGACCCTGCTGTAGCGGGAGGCCACGTATGGTCCCAGGCTCTCCTCACACATACGTAAAACTTGGCTCTTGATGGGGGTCGAGTCACTAGCTGCCACACTGGAGAGGGGGACAGACATAATGAGAATAACAATAAATAATAGTAATGATAAAAAATAACATTATAATAACAACAAGAGATTGCATATAATGCTTACACCTTACTTCCTTACTCCTGATTAAGTGAATCTTTCCCCAGTTTCTCCTGACTCTTTCTTACTAATGTCTATCAGCCACACCCCTGCGATAAGAGTAGCCTTCCATCATCACCCAAAAACAATAATCAAAATAGATTCCTATCAAAACTGAAAATACCCTAGTCAGAATTTTAGAAAATACAGAGTACCTTCAAAATCATAATGTGGTTGCCCTAAGCTAAAAGACAGGGGGCCCTACGATGTCAAAAAAACTATCACGTGTAACGACCAGTCGCACAGTATGTTGAAGAACAAGCAGCAAACAACCCCACAGATGTAGCAGCGGAACAAAAAGAAGAAAGGGGATGATAATAATAACAACAACAATAGATTGCATGTGACACACCCCATGTCCCTAATAGGAAGTAAGCTTTATGTGCTTTTTAATAAAGAGTATCTCCTCTGGGAAAATGGGAATTGCCACAATATGGACACCCTGAAGATATCAATTTTAAAAGACTGTAGGCTCTGGATCGCTAACAACAAAAGACTGTAGGCTCACAAATGCATTTCTTTTTGACAGTTCGCTTTTTTTTTTAGTAAGTGGAGTGGAAAATCAAAACAAAAATAATTAACCTACAGTCAAAAAGGAATGAAGTTTCAAAGTCTCAGGTTTTTTAAATCGATTTCTTTGTGATTTCCATTTTAGATTTTGCCAGTCTTTCCCCATAACTCTTTCTACTCTCTATTTTTTTCCTGTCAAGTGTATTTCCTTATGACATAAAGTTACTACAAAATCAAGACTGAAACTTACAATCTTTATGGCCTCTAGAATAAACCAGAGATCTTACAGTTTTAAAAACAATCACGTTCAACCCTGCAATATGGAGCAGAAAGCAAAAGTAAAGAAGCTGTCCCTGTATGACAAGTCGGGAAACAAATTTTCAACACTCACATGGTATGGAGCCTTGTGGTCAAGCAACCAAATTTGCAGGCAGTTGGTTCAAATTTTCCATGCTCCGGGTTTAAAATTAACGCCATCCAAAGATAGTTCACAGTTCTGTCTCACTCAGTTCAGGTGCACACGTATAGGCATTGAATCTTTTCTTCTGTACACCAAATAGCGCATTGCAATTTTGAGTGTAAGTACATGTTTTAGTTTAGGTACGAGTTTTACGGCACTTGCAACACAATAAGGCCATACAAGTGCCGAAGATTAGAGGTGTTACAAGAGAGTAACAAACATAAAAAAGAAAGAGGGGAGATCAGGACGATAGATGTTCGATAGGAAAGAAGGAGCAAACCACACCAGAGCACCCGCCAACCACCCATTAAGTACATGTTTCACAGCACCAATGATACAATATCGTCATGTAAGCGTCACAAGGAAATCATAACTATGACACAGTGCTCACTTGTCTTCTACATGTGGACCACTCTTGTCCCCTCTGCCTTCCTGTGAGAACAGTGCGGAGAAGTTCAGGTGCAACAATGTGTCCTTCTCGCCCTTCTGCAGAAGTTGCTTACTCACTAGATTCGGGGTCTTTGTCGGCGCCTGGGGAAACATCAGACAGACAGAGTGAGAGAAGAAATCCGAAAGCTCATAATACTTTGCTTTTTCTGCGTTCATTCAAACAGACATTCCAGCAGATTGGAGGGAGTACTAGGCTTCAATTCCGTTCCCATACAAAGAACATTTCTACCTTGTTAGAATGAGAAGCGGGTTTCAGTTCACTTCCCATGAAAGTATATCATGAGTGAACTATAACAATGAGCCGATTCTGGAGTCAATTTATACCCTCCCATATTGTACATGAGGTCATGCTAAATGAGGGTAGATAAGATACGAGAGACAGATAAAAATAAGAAAAAGTTGAAACCATTGGGAAAAAAAAAATTTTAAGAGACGAACGATTCCGCACAAAATAACTAGAAACATTTCCTCTTGGACACCCTAACAAAGAGGACATAATTTTTCCAAACCTTGTCCTATAACTGGTCTTATCAGAGACGGATGTTGAATTTAGAGGCCTTCCTTCATATTATATCACCTAATACCTTTGCCCGAGGTGCAACTGTTAAGCACTTTGCTGGCACATGCAAGAAACCGTAGTTCAATTCCCAAGTGGAAAGAATTTTTATTCAAGTATCTTGGCCTTTCTGCCAAGACATTGTATCCTTCTTAGTCCAGGCTGGCCTAGACAGGCAGATTCAAAGTCCCTCTCCTAAATAATCTAAAGCTAGATTTTTTTTATACGGGGAATAAAGACACCAACATCAAAACAAAATGTTCTATAAAAAAAATAAGCTGACAGAGTTGAAAGGGCTGCTAAACCCAAACATTCACTGTCACACAAGACCATTTACTTTATGTTGACAGAAAAACAAAGCCAAACATTTTTTTAAAAAAGCTTAGTAATTAAATACAATGTACAAAAAATTCCCTTATAGTATTCACAAGGACAAAACCACACGTCATCTTAAACAATAATGAGAACACACTCTAATGAACTTACAACAATGGCAGAATTCTCATCAGCTGTTTCAGTTTCTGGAATTTTCTCTTTGGACAGAGATGTTGACACAGAGTTGAGTTTTTTCCCCATTTGCATAAGGAAATGGTTAAACAGGGACTGAGGTTGCTCAACTGAAAGGAGAACGTTTTGAAGTTTACGAACAAATATGGAAAAAAAAAAGGTTAGAATGTTAATATTCAATGACGTTACAAAATCAAATCCACATGTCAATTTCAACTACCCTGGTCTCCCCTTCAGGAATATGCTGCTTAAGAACCTGGTCTTCCTCAGAAACTGTTTTTACCATGAATGACATTGAATTTTTTTTTCATCTAAAATTCACATGCCAAAGAACTTTTTCTAAAAATTACAATCTGCCTGAGAACCTACTTTGAGCTAAGGGCAATACACTTTTATGAATACAGTCGAACCTGTTTGTTTGTTTAGTATAGGGTTTTACGGCGCTCGCAACTGCATAGGTCATATGAGCGCGCGGGACACACCTAATACTTTTTCGATGGTAGGAAATTTTGAATTTTGCCCGGGTGGCGGCCGAAGCCTACTCTTATCGATTTTAGACCACCAAGGGATCTTTAACGT